TCTAATCTTCTGGCGCTCATATATATGACCTCATGCAGTTGCGAGCGCTGTAAAACCTCTACTAAAAACAAACAAAACAAGGGGGCTCTCGTGGCCTAGAGGTAAGGTGTTGGCCTCTCATTCAAAGGTCCCGGGTTCGATTCCGGGTAGCGACCAACAAATTTTCTTCTCTAAAATTGTCTCCTTTCACATCCTTTCCTGATCTCTAGCAATGTTCTGTTGTCTGCTTTCATTTCCACTTTCTGTCCCCACCCCCTCACCTCCTTTGCCACCTCCTCTGGGCTCCTGACTCTTTCTGCAGCCTTTCTACTGCTACTCCTTGGCTCCTCCTAACTGCTGTCTTTCTGCCGCACCCCTGATCTTCTGGTAGGAAAGATCTACACCTAGCCTTCTCGGACAAGGGCGAAAAATCTCGGAGGGCCCGTGTGCAAGTTGCGCACGTTAAAGATCCCTTGGTGGTCTAAAATCGATAAGAGTAGGCTTCGGCCGCCACCCGGGCAAAATTCAAAATTTTCTACCAACTAAAAAGTATTAGGTGTGTCCCGCGCGCTCATATGACCTTATGCAGTTGCGAGCGCCGTAAAACCCTATACTAAAACAAAAAACAAAACAAAACAAGAAAGAGGAGGCACCTGGAGGTATAATAGTTATGTTTGTGGTACAGTGATTAGGCCCTTGGAGATCTTTGCCTTGCATGATGAAGGATATGAGATTTTTTCATTGTTTTCTTGCGTCCCTTTAGGTCAACTTACAGACAGGGTCAAAGCAACCCGCCTTTTAATTTAAATGATGTGGAAAAGTGGAAAACATTTATATTTGCCTAGCTGCAATATTATGTAAAAAAACATACAATTACAAGGGAGTCCTCTTACTCTGGAAATGATGGTAAACTGAAAGCAAATAGAATCCCTCATATTTTTTTTTCTTTGCTACAGTGAAACTTGGAAATAATGAACTCAGATGCCACAAAAGGACACAGATTCTCCTTTTTTTTATATATTCATTAAAATCAGCAAAATAAATTAGATTCCAAGAAGTCGCTTGCATGGCGAACAGCCCTCGCTGATGTGGTTTCGACATTTTTTCCCAGCAAGAAACCTTATCTACTCTATTCCAAGAGACCATCAATCGCATCTGCACCTTTGATTATTACATGCTTAGCCTAACCTATTGTGTACATCTTATGCAACCAATCAGAAGCCTTATTCACAAGCATTCTGAGGACGGAACGTAAGCAGAGATTCTCTGTGATTCAGACAGGTTGTAGACATTCACACTCCTAAAACGAAAGATTGGTTTCAACTAAATTGAAGGTCAGGCCTGATGACTTCATTATATAGGAGTTTCACTGTACTATTTGGGCAATCTCTCTACACTAAAAACACAGTCACGGATACACCGAAGAAAATTTGGCGGCCCTGCAGATTTCAGTTTGAAACCAGATCCCACTGTATTTGATATGTTTTTGAGAGTTGGACTAGAGAAGACCATTTTTGCATCAGGAAAAAACAACACCTAAACTTCCACTCAAACAACACTGAAACCTACAACGCAGACTTCACAATAGACGAACTTACATCGTGCATCTCGGACCTGGGTTAGATTAAATGATTCTGTGCTGTGTGATCTGTGTTTGAAAAGTGTCTTTTTGTAGGGTCTTGTCTTATATGTATTCGGAGCTAGGGGTCTTTTGTCTGTATGCCTGTCTGTCTGTCTGTCTGTCTCTCCCTCTCTCTCTCTCTCTCTCTCTCTCTCTCTCTCTCTCTCTCTCTCTCTCTCTCTCTCTCTCCCTCTCTGTCTGTCTCTCTCTCTCTCTCTCTCTCTCTCTCTCTCTCTCTCTCTCTCTCTCTCTCTCTCTCTCTCTCTCTCTCTCTCTCTCTCTCTCTCTCCATGTATGTGTGTGTGTCTGCACTCACAAATTCCAACCCACGTTGATCATTTCTGGGAGATCAGAAGTTGAGCTGTATGTGTTGAGGTCCTTGTTGACATTATATCTACTATCTAGTTTACTTTTGCCCTATGCCCATTAATCCACTAGGATCATTGTCATGTCGACTTTGACCCAAAAAAGCAATAAAAACAAAGTTACAAATGAAAGTGGTACTGGTACATATATACCAAAATTATTTATAAGAACAAGACCACGTTGCACAAGGAAAAACAAAATGAGTTTTGAAGATTGTACACGAAGGATCCATGAGAATCGAGGAGCTCACAATTGTGAACATGGTTTGGAATCGAAATTGAGAACATGATTTAAACTAGGCCCTATTTTAATTTATTGTCGCCTTACCCACCGGCTCCTGGTGGTCTTGGGGGTGCGCTTACTTGATCGCCAGCAAACCAGCGTCTGTGGTGTAGCGACGATCTCACAGTACAGTCAACCCGAGTTGGCCCTGATAGGCAGGGTCGGAAGCCCGCCTCCAAATTATATATATTCGTGTTAATGGGATGGGGGGGGGGGGGGGAAAGAGATCTGAATCTGACTACAACTACAACTGTCAACTACACTACAACTTTTTTTTTAATTTGAAACCGCCAGGAGTACACAAACAGTGCTCGGCAGCTGAGCAGTGATTGATGTTCTCCCTTTCTCCCTCGCACGACTGAACCACCTCACCCCCGCCCCCTAGAAAAAATAATACAGTGGAATCCTGTTATGACGAGAGGTAGGGGACCAGTGCGAAATGTCCGTTTATAGCAGGATTCTCGTTACAAGGGATCCAGTAATACATACAAGGAAAATAGTAAAGTAGGCCTAATCTATGAGTTTGGCGTTCTGTTTATTCCTTTTTGTATTTCCCCTGATGACGATTTGTTCAACATGATCTCTAGGTCTTACTTGATCAAAAATCGAATTAGGTTTCTTTCTCTAGCACTAGCAATGTTGACAGCTCGGCGTTGGCGATCAGCAGGAAGGGGCCCTGGCTCTAGGCTAACTCGCCCGCTGTGTTGTCCCCCACCCCACCACACCCTGTGGTGCGTTGCGTCTGCTAGCGCACGTCACACATTCAGTGATTCACTCCATCTATCAGCATTGTGACCTCTCCGTCCGGCACCAGAGAAGTGAGAGGCACGGTATGCCTAGATAATCTAGACTGGGCTGGCCTATCAACTATCACGCGATGCGTTCTGCTTGTCTGCGCATGCCACACCCTCCCCACTCATTCACTCCGGCCTTCATTGTTGGTTCGCGTGGGCTCTCCCATTCTTTGTTTCGCTGGATCACCAACAACTTTCTCAACTGGCAAGGTTTTATAATATCTGTAATTGGTCTACGCGCTGTGCACAGCAGCAGCTATATTCCGTTAAAACCGACTCGCGTGACGCTCTGATTGCGCAATAGCCGTATTTTATTTACAAAGATAAATAGGGAGAAAAAACGGGGTTTTAGAGTACTGTCTTTATAACAGACTTCTCGTTGTTTCAGGACTTGTTATAAGTGGACTCCACTGTATAGAGATCATACATGTATTCTAAAGTTAAAATCATCTTTCGCTATTGTCTCACATATATTGCCCGACCGAGAAGGAAGACCCAGACGTGTGTGTAAGGTCAAGTAAGTTCCGAATTAGGGCTGAAGCCGCCAGAAATGAATTCATCCTCTATTAAAATAGGCAGCGCAGGTGAGACGAAAACCTCAGGTGGCCAC